AGGTATATGTATGAAGTCTACTATTAAAGGTTAAAACACAAACCGTATCAGCTAGCCATTTTGCCGTTGTTCGTAGAATATAATAGCATTCGATCGTAGAGTGTCTTGGACGTTTTGGCCAGGCACTGTATAAGTGAACAAGTCAGACAAAGGAAAATAAAGATATGATAAAGTCTACTTACAGGTGTACTGAAAAAATATAAGTAGAGAAGTCTACCTACGGGTTTGATTTCACAAATTTCATTAGATTAGTATGCTTCTCCTTAACACCGTTTGATCGAAAGGATCATATCCATGGCCACGGTCGGAGTGAGAACTCGACATTGGAATGATCGTCTTTGTGGTGCTATTTCCTATGAAAGAACTCTTCTGTGTTGCAGCAAGCTGTCGATTTCTGTCACTCTTTGCCCGTGCCACTATCTGAGCCGCTGCTCTGGCTTTGCTATTTTTGGCAATTTGAACCGTGTCAAAGTCAAGATCACACGTCGCCGGGTCAACTTAAAAAATGCTTGTATCAGGGGCCTCTTCTTCGTCCACGGCAGCCTTCTTTCCTTTTTCATCCCCGGGGACATTAACACTCTCACTCGCACTAACGTTCACATTATCTTTCTTAGGAACATCTTCTTTCTCTTAATTAGTCTGCAGTTTATGATCACAAACAGGCATGAATATACAAATAACAACACCATTGCTATAATTAAGTAACATGTTTCATCATAGTCTGGAAATATAAACAACTAGTTTTTGAAACATAAGTAATGAAGCTCACACAACACATAGCACTATTAAACATATTCGAATTCAAATGACATTAGTATTAAGTGTTCCTATCTTTCGATGATCTTGTTTGCATGAAATATTTTCGTATAGTCAGAGGGTTTTTTGGTACTAACCCTTCACGCTTATTGTATCCAGTGACCTGCTGCTGCCTTGGCTCTATATTGTCTTTCACCTTTTCGTCAGTGTGCTTAGCCGACCCTGTAGTCAACTCCTCTACCGCGTGCTCTACTGATTCAACCTTATCAGTGAGAAGTTTGATATGCTTTTCACAGCTACCAAGACCATTCAGCATCTTGGTTGAGAAGCTTTTGAAGCATTGGTCGAAGTGCGCTTTCATAGTAGCGACAACTCCGACCCCTTGATCACCAACGAAGAGGTGGCAGAGGTATAGGCTGTGCAGGTTTTCTTGCAACTTGATTCATCTGAGAGAAGGCTCATTTTTCCTGTTTTTGCCTTGACGATGTGTGAACCCATAACACCTTCCAGAGGCCAGTGGGTTTTTGAAAACTTGAATTGGGGGTCATGGATTGCATTGATAATCTTGAAAATATCCGGATCCTGTTGCTCATAATCCCAAACTGGAAACATATCCGCCAAGTCCTTAGCCATGCAACACTATATGCGAGCCTGGAAAAACACAATTCGAATATTGAAGTCTACTTCATAAATGAATTACTTTATAGAAGTCTACGTTAGAAGTTTACCACTGAAGTCTACTTCATAAATTAATTACTATATTGAAGTTTACGTATGAAGTCTACCACTGAAGTCTACTTCATAAATTAACTACTATATAGAAGTCTATTACGGAACAAGACTTCTAAATGAGAAAGAATAATACCTGTTTTTGCATGTTGGCTTTGACGTTCTTTCATCCTCTTGATCCTTTGTAAGCCAGCAGAAGAGATGTAGGATCATTTGGCAATGATTCGCCAAATTCAGCAGCAAAATCCAGAAGAGCATAGTACACCCATAGTTGAAGAGCTTGCACAAATCCTTTTATATGAATATTTTTGTTGAGATCTTTCTCCTTCACAGACTTGATCAGATGCTGAAAAACAATTCTTCCCTATGAAAACTCCTTAAAACATTTGAGATCTAACACTAGTCTGGCATGGTTAGCATTTGTGGAAACCAGTATAGATCTCAAGATATCCGAAACGCAGCCTATCATCCCGAGACCATGATGTGCAGTTGGAACAAGCTTCAATTATTTGGACTTGGCCCCTAGTCGACATCGACCCCAATTTTCTCCCAGAATACACACATTTCATCGGAAAGCTCAAGATCAGCTAGAGCCAAGTCATCCACGTACCCGTAGTTGAGTCCAGTGATCTCCTCAAACTCATGCATAAAAACCGAACTGGAGTGGTACCAATCAGGCTCCATATCTTGTACCTCTGCTTGCAAACTATCTGAAAGGTCAGCATGTGGTGCACCAGCCTAGAAGTCCAGCCAAAATCCAAGTCGTGGAGCTTTAAGAAGACACCCCACAGTGACTCGTAAATCTCTTCCCATTCATGCTCTCACAGAGCTTCCCGTAGTGCAGGTACCAGCCTATAATCATCAGCATAATAGCCGATGCTTTTATCTGAGACTGGCTCACCGCCTTTGATGTACAATCTTCTAGGAAATTCAGAGGCCACCATTATCTAACACAGTATTCTGCATCACCGGTAATAGAGCTTTAATCAGAAAACTGGTTATAACTAATGGTTTGAAACTATACACGAATGAAGTCTACTAATTGTCAAACGAAGTTTACTATTTGCCAAACAAAGTCTACTATTTGCCAAACGAAGTCTACTTTTGCCAAACGAAGTCTACTTTTGCAAAATAAAGTATACTTTTATAAAATAAAGTATACTTTCACATTATAAGTACACTCTTACTCGAGAAGTCTACTGAAGCCAACCGAATCAATCAATACATCAAAAATACAGTATATGAAGTCTACTGAAGCCAACCGAAGCAATCAATACATCAAAAATACAGTATATGAAGTCTACTGAAACCAACTGAAGCAATCAATACATCAAAAGTATATGAAGTCTAGTAAAAGCAATCAATCCATATAAAATCTACAAAGTAAATAGTGTTTACAGCCGTGATTAGATAAAGCCGGTGTTGAGAAAATGCAACCTATGTACTCAAACCTGACGGACAAATCCGACGAACAAAATTACAGGAAGATAGAAGAAATAGAGGAACAACTACGTATATAGCTTCGGAAGGACATCTACTAACCGTTTTAAAGTAGGAAATGACGTTGACCCCCAGCGGCAAAAGCAGATCTGGCAAAAAAAAGCAGATCTCGACAGTGGTGGTTACGAAAACGGAATGGTGATGAACACAGAGGAGTAGGGAAGCATGGGAGTGATGTTGGAGGAAGAAAACTTGCCTGAACAGAGTTATCGGCGGCGGTGAGAAGTAAGTCGGCGGAGCCGGAGAAGAGAAATAGAAATCGCCTTCGTCTTTTTTTTTAAACAAGAACTTTCGACAGTTTTTTTTTTTTAGGGATCTGTAAAATTCTTTTATATAGTCTGGTAATTCTGTTCGGTTCGGCTAATTTTTTCCGGTTAGGTTAATAATTTTTCTGGGACTATGTAAATTTACCCGGTTACGAGCAATTTTTCTTGGTTAGAAGAAGTTATTTTTGGTTCAATTTCGGTTTAAATTTCGGTTAGATTAATTTATTCGGTTTAGCAGATTTCAATATAGAAGTCTACTAATTTTAAAACCTAAATAATAATTTTTTTTCTTCCTAATTTAAAAACATAAATTTCCATTTATCAATATGAAAAAAAAATTATGCATATTTGGATTACAATTACGGAATTTATGAATGTAATTTTGATACCAAAATAATTTTTTCTAAATTTTAAAATTAAATTTTCTAACTTAATTACTTCGTAGACTTCACTCTTTAGAAGACTTCGTAAGGGTTTAAATGGTAATTAAGACATTTGTTTTTTGTTTGGACATACATTAAATGGTCTTTTCACTATTTTTTTAGGTTATTTTTGCCAAATGTTTTTTCAGGAATCTACTTTTGTATTCAGAATCAAGTTTTTAGGTTATTTTTAACAAAACCCTATATAATTATTTACTATTATTTCTCATATCGGATTCAGCTTGCATGACTTGGCTAATCTTCAAAAATAAGAGTTTGAAGTTTTATGTACCATACTACCATATTGATATATGTATCCAAGTTTTGTCCATAGTTTATGCCTAATATGTATGGTAAACTTATAACAGCCTTATATACTATAGTTAAGTTATACTCCCTTAAATAGAAGGTATATATGCTATATAGTACAAGGTATTAAAATAGAGGTTATATGTTATAGCACGAACCAAACTCTACCTATTAAAATAGAAGGTATATATATATATGCAATAATGCAAATACAAATCTTTTTACATTCTTACATTTTGGGTCCGAATGGTAACGGCGTATTTGGTTGTGCGAGAAAGCAGTTTTGTATGAGATAGTTTAACTGTGGTACGTGCGAGAGAATTCAATTGCAGTACGTGTAAAAAAAATTGAACTGCGATATGTGCGAAAGAAATTCAACTGTGTACATGAGATACGTACAAAAAAACTATTTGAGAGATAAATATGTTTAATACAAAATAAGTAGTGCAAAATAGTATTTAATTAGTGAAAAAATAACATATATACAATATGATAGATATTTCAAAAACAAATATATTAAAAGTATTAGTAAAATTATAAATTAGAAAAGATTTAAACATATATTTTTTTTAAAAAAATGTATTGAATTTTCTCCATATTTTTTAAATTTTTTTGTTATTTCTAAAATTTTAATATAATTTTTAGAAATACAGTTAGTATATTAATTTTTATAAAAATTTTAGTTATAACATATAAAACCGCACTTGAAAACAAAAACCACATCAAGAACCTAGCATTATTACTATTCCATGCAGATTTCACTTTTTTTTTACAAAATTAAAACTGCATTTCTACTATTTATTTTTTTATTAATAATAAAAAAACACATCACAGTTGTAATAATTTTTAGTGATTGGTGGATTTACTAATACCGTCCCGCACCCGCAGTTACCATTCACTGTCTTTCTTTGTCTTTCACATTTATCATTTAATGTCGCTGAAGATATTAATAAGGGAGAATAATTTTGCTTTTCGAATATAACTTAGGCAGAAAAGAAAATGAAGGAGGGAGAAAAACTTTCCATGTGCAACCAACCAAATCCCTATTAGCGTCTTCTAGACCAACACAAGCGTGCAAGCTACTGAGCTACAACACGTGTCCAGATCACAAAACCCTCATAGACCAAAACACGCGAAACGACTCGGACACGTGTCTAAGTTCACACACGTTATAAAACCCTTAACCACTGGTTCAGTGTTCCTCAGTTCCAGTAAACCTTATCAGCTAATAATATTCAAACATTCTCTAAAGAGAGAAAAGAGAGATGGACGGTAGGGGAGGGTGTTGCATAGCAAGGTACACCGGTGAAGCTGGACCGTACGATTACAATCTCTCTAAAGCAGATCGCATCATGCTTCGTTTTCGTCCCATCGCTCCTAAACCAACAACTAGCGACGGCGGCGGAGGAACGTCCGTATCCAGCGGTGGCGGAAGCTCCGACGTCGTTTCTTTTAGAGGAGGTAGAGGAAAGAGGAAATATCAGCAGAAGGAGAACGTTGGTAACGCCACGAGGTGCACTCGACGGAAGAGATCGGATAAGTCCATCGTTCACGGCGGCGCTACTACGGTGACTCTGTCGCTGATGCCGGAGACGCCAGATCAAGGTGCTTTTACAGATCGGAAAGTAACGGTGGTGCCGTCGGAGGAGAAGCAGAAGCGGCGGAGTCCGTTTTGGCTAAGTTTCAGCGACGGCGGCCAGATGTTTACTCCGGCGTATAACACGGTGGTGATTTCGTCTTGTATGACGGTGGAGCGTATAACGGACGCTTGGATTGACGGCTACGGTCTAGGGAGGTCTGACGAAGAAAGAAAGATGAATCTCGTAAGGGACACGTGTCCTGGATTCATATCGGACGGTTCTGGTAGAGTGACGTGGACAAACGACGCGTACAGGAAGATGGCTAGGGATAATATTCATGTGGAAGAAGGTGCACCGGAGGACACGAGCATGATCGTACGGTTGGTGATGAGGGAGAGTCCGATGCGAACGTACCCGGCTTTCACGTGCAGGGTGAAACTACAGTACACGTGTCAAGATCGTGAGAGATGCGTCGTCGCGGTGCCTTGCGACGTGTGGAGAATGGACGCTGGAGGATTCGCTTGGAGGCTCGACGTTAAGGCCGCTTTGTGTCTTTGACCGGTAGAGTCGTAGAGATATAATATAAACCGTAAGATCAGTATAGTCACGATCAGCGACGAACGGTCCCGATCGTTGCATTACATATGATCTTCTTGAAACAAAACATGCATTAGTTTAGCTACATTTCTAGTTAATTAACATAATACATAGTTTATTGGGTATGTCGTTTGTGTGCTATCTTCTTCTCTTTTGTTTTCCTACAGTAGATTATGTTTATAGTTTTTGTCAAAATGCATCTTTTTCTTCATATTAACGCATTTGCGATGCTAAATTCCGAGTTAATTGTTGTTTAAAGATAATTAACATAAGAACAAATTGTAAGTATTTAATGCGTTTATCGTCGGTGTCATATTTTCTGGCCGGATCTGAAATTTTGGAGATTTGGAAAAAAATAAAAATGGGAGTCTAATTGGTTTTATAAAAAAAAAAATTTTAAAATTTATAAAGTAAATTAAAAAAAAAATTTGGAAACTTAAAACAAATGTTTCGATAAGATTAACCCAGATCCGGCTCTGCATATTTCACGGCAAGGTCGTCACCGTCCAAACATGCAAACTCCAAAAGTGGTTCAAAATATGGAACGTGTTATAACACATATCATATATGGACTCTTATACCGGCCCATTAGGCTCATCAGGGCATTGTACTTAACCTAGATTCCCTATGTACTCTATATATACATTCCAGTGATTAATAAAGTTTCTAAGAAGTTTTCACAACACGTTATCAGCACGATAAGACTCTCTGAGCGAAAAACCCTAATAAATCCGGCCACCACCAAAACCCTAAAAGCAAGTCGAAACTTAAAAGACGCATATCTTCCAAACCGTGAGGAACCAGAAGACGATCTACATATCAAATCGAAGCCCTCGACGAGACGAATCTACTGGTGAAAACCGTTTGTCGATCCAACGTCGGACGCGCCCTCACGTACACTTACAGTACACGATGATCAACCGAAAAAAAAAACCAGATCCGAGTTTTTTTTCCTTCTTCAACCAGCAGCTTCTCCAGTTTTGGTGATCAATCCTTGGAATTTGTAGCGGCTAACTGAGGTCTATTAGCTCCCAGTTTCATTAGCCTGTCAGAAATCCAAAGGTGGAAAAGGTATCTTCTAAAACTGAGAGCCATAGAACCTGTTGTTTAAACACTTCAAAACCCTATAAAAAAAAAAAAATCGATCTCTAATTAATTGAAAGTGTTTGATACTCTGATGATTGATTGGTAACTTGTTGATTGATTGTTTAAATTACAAGTTTATGCATGTTCAAAGGTTTTAAACTCGTTTTATAAAACCCTAATCTACAAAAACCTAACAACCGTTTTTGGCCATGTTTATGGCATAAACCTATTCGATTTTCTTCATGTTTAATAAGCTTGTTGCAGCTTATTTTGATTGTTGATTCTCTTGCTTGAAACACTTGATTGAATAAACTAAGAAAATCAACCCTAAATCCTAAGCTTGATTCACGATTTTGTAATCTTCAAAATCGTAAGTCATAATGCTTAAACCCTAGTCCTTTTCACGTGATTTCTTTGTTGTCCTTGTGAAATTATTAAAACCATCGACCACAGATCCTATAGATCTCGAAATCACATCCAAAATATGTTTTCCAAACCGTTAAAACCCTAGATAAAACCCTAATCATATTCGGCTCCCCTAGGGTTCCTCCTAAACCGCCTAAAACCGGCTAAACCTGGTTCTTATTAACCGAATTATATTCGGCTTTAACCGATTAAATCACAGCTATTAAACCGACATCATGTTCGGGGTAACTAAAACCATACCCTTTAAAATTTACTATTTCCGAGAAAGTTCCCTCTAATAGAAAGTTTCCTCATATAAAAACTTTCCTCATATAGAAATTTTCCCGACATAGAAACTTTCCTCATTTAGAAAATTACCCAAATTAGAAACTTTACAAATTTAGAAACTTTCCTAAAATAGAAATATTTTCAAAATAGAAAGTTTCATCATCAGCATTCAAAATTTTCTCAAAACAATCCCTAACAAAATCAATCTCATGTTTCAGATGTCAAACATTCAGAAATGTGAATTCGAGGCCCTTCACGTCTCCGGGGATAACTACCTCGAGTGGGCCCTAGACATGCGCTTGTTCCTTGCATCGAAAGAACTCGATGCGTGTATTACCGACGGTAACACCGCATCCCGTAAGGGACAGTCTCAGGCGATATGTCACATACGCCATCATCTGGCCCCGAGCCTTAAGCAGCAATATCTCACTCTTGAGAATCCACTTGAATTGTGGCAAGCGCTGAAAAAGCGATATGACCATCAGAAAATGGTCCAGTTGCCTCAGGCAGATTTCGACTGGAAGAACCTTCGGTTCCAGGACTACAAATCCGTAGATGATTACAACAACGAACTCTTTCGTATTGTTGCCATCCGGAAACTCTGTGGCGAGGATGTGACAGATAATGATCTCCTCGAGAAAACATTATCCACATTCAGCACAGAGAATGTTGTGCTCCAACAACAATACCGTGCAATGAAACACACATTGTACGAAGACTTGTTGTCCTGTCTTCTCCTCGCTGAGAAGAATAACCAGCTGCTTATGAGGAACAGCGCTATGAGGCCCCCGGGATCGGCTCCTGTCCCAGCTTCTCGTCAAGAGTCCTACCATGTTCAACCCGATAGATCCTCAGATCACCGCCGTGGACGTGGTAATGGACGTGGTAATGGCCGAGGACATGGACGTGGAAGACGTGGACGCGGACATGGTAGCGGCAACCGACCTAACCTCAGTTATGGTCCTGGTCGTGGTCGAGGCATCACCAAGCCGACCCGCCACACCAACCCCGATCACTCTGCTTGTACCAGATGTGGGATGTTCAACCACCCAACAAAGCAATGTCGCACCCCCAAGATCCACTGCGATCTATACCAGAAGTACGAAAAAGCTCCTGCTGAAGCCAACATGACTCAGCCAGTCGATGCTGCTAACCTGGAAGGTGACGACCTCCTTGATGATGAGAACACCACAAACGAGCAGACCGACCCCATGGACTATGAAACAGCTGATCTCCTCGATTAATTCAATCATCTGAAACTCTGATACAATTTGATTTTGTTCTTTATTTTTTTTCATTTTGGGATTTGTTTCATTTTTTTTTCCATTTGCCTTTATTCTCAGACACTGCTTTACTTTATGATTTATCACATTTTCTGAATTCCTCAATACTGAATTCTATCTTCTATTCATAATAAAGCACACCAGCAAATGGAAACCATAGTCGTAGATAGTGGATCCAGCCACACTATCTTAAGAAACAAAAGTTACTTCATAAACCTAACCTATCAAACCGCAAATATTAGCACCATCGCGGGTCCCTCAAACCTTATCGAAGGATATGGCCATGCCTATGTGTTGCTATCAAATGGCACACAACTTGAAATACCAGATGCTCTATATTCTCCTAGTTCGAAGAGAGATCTTCTGAGCTTCAAGGATATAAGACAGAATGGTTTCCACATAGAAACCCAAGGTCAAGGGAACAAAGAATCCCTCCTAGTCACTAAAACCGTAGACGGCCATAAACAAATCCTCGAAACCATACCCGCGCTCTCTACTGGACTTTACCATGCTAAAGTCAGTATGATTGAAGCTAATACCACTCTCAAAGCCCGGTTTACTGATTATACTATTTGGCACGACCGGCTCGGTCATCCCGGTGCAAATATGATGCGTAAACTAATTCAAAACTCTCAAGGGCATACCCTCAAAGAAAACCGAGCTTATCCTCAACACCTCATGTGCACAGCTTGTTCTCAAGGCAAATTGATCACTCGGCCTTCACCAGTTAAAATCTCTAAACAAACACTTCATTTCCTAGAAAGAATCCAGGGCGATATCTGTGGACCTATACATCCATCTTCCGGACCATTCCGGTACTTCATGGTCCTTATAGACGCATCGACCCGTTGGTCATATGTTTGTCTCTTGTCCTCTCGGAACCAAGCCTTCGCTAGGTTCTTGGCCCAAATCATAAAATTGCAGGCCCATTTCCCTGACTTCCCACTAAAGACTATCCGCCTTGACAATGCTGGTGAATTTACCTCACAAGCGTTTAATGACTACTGTATGGCCATGGGGGTAACCGTGGAACATCCTGTAGCACATGTCCATACTCAAAATTGATTGGCTGAATCATTCATTAAACGCATTCAATGGATAACCCGACCATTACTCATGAGATCAAAGCTCCCGGCCTCAGCATGGGGACATGCAGTATTACATGCTGCTGAACTCATACGCATCCGGCCATCTAGTGAACACAAATATTCCCCATCCCAACTACTCTCGGGTCATGAGCCAGACATCTCCCATCTCAAAACATTTGGGTGTTCAGTATATGTACCCATTGCTCCACCACATCGAACCAAAATGGGACCTCAAAGAAGGATGGGAATATATGTTGGTTTTGACTCTCCCACCATCATAAGATATCTCGAGCCAACCACTGGAGATTCCAGATATGCGGATTGCCAATTCGATGAATCGGTATATCCCTCTTTAGGTGGTGAGACAAACAAGCTGGTCAAAGATCTTTCATGGAATCAAACATCATTAAATTGGCAAGATCCTCGGACTCTAGAATGTGATTCAGAGATCCAAAAGATTATTCATTATCAAAAGCTAGCTAATCAATTGCCAGATTCCTTTGCTGACCCGACCAAAGTAACCAAATCGTACATCCCAGCTTGTAATGCACCAGTACGAATAGCTGTCCCAACGGGACAGACCCAAGTTGCTACAGAGTCTGCACCACGTCTCAAACGGGGCAGACCTCTCGGTTCCAAAGATAAGAATCCCCGGAAATCAAAGAAAGGTGCAATAACCGAAACCAGGATTCCTGCAATATCAGACATAGCCGCGGCTGAGACTCAATCTAATGAACCCTCAATGGAAGTTCGGGACGCCGAATCTCCAGGTTCAGAAGATAACAATGAGATCTCCATCAATTACAATATGTCCGGAATACAATGGAATCGAAAAGAAGTCGACTTAAATGCACTCTTTGCATACAAAGTAGCACTTGATGTTGCGCTCACGCAAGAGGATCTAGAACCCACGTCAATAACATAGTGTACACATCGAACAGATTGGCTAAAATGGAAAGAAGCCATAAACGTGGAGTTAAAGAGTCTCAAACTCAGAAACGTGTTCGGTCCGATCATCCGGACCCCATCACACATCAAGCCAGTGGGCCACAAATG